TCTTCAAACATTGATGAGACCTTGTTGCTAAGGCAAAAGTCTGTTATCAGTGAAAACAAGAGCTATTTCCACTTCTATTTGTTATATAATAGCCACAATAATGAACTTTACCACTAATCATGAGGTTTGTATGTAAGGTCATCATGCTTAAGGACCAACTCCAAGGAGACCACCAACAACATTGGTCTTAAATCATCATTGTTCTCAGGGTGCTTAACTACAACTTTTTGAAGACTATTTTTTATTTATCTATTCCATTACAGCCACAAAAAGAAACTGCTTCCTAATAGGCACACCATAAATAATGGGGATCCTAGTAATTCAAGTTTTTATGGATGCTTTATGTTTAAATTATGTAGTAGAGATCAACAGTATAATGTCAGTAATTATAAAAACTAAAATATGATTTAAAATTTTTCAGTGTAAAACTTTTTTTAACTCTTAAAGGTTTCAAAAATTCAAGAGGTTGTCTTATAAGGTAATTAAGTTCCATATCACTGTGATATTCAAACAATGATTGGTATCATTGTTGGCCAAACATTTGAGCAGAATTCTTGCATGGTTTGGGAAAATAAGAAAGAATAGATTACTTATTTTAAAATCTTTGACAGGTGGCAATGTTCTGCTTCTTTAACTGTGTGTTTATTGGACTTCTATATAAATACACTAAATCTAAAATGAAGAAAAACTAAAGGATCTAGTCAACAGATTATCATATTGGGAAAAGGATTATTTTCCAAACTGGAAACCCCTGATTTTTCACCTTGGCTATGCAGACAACGGGTGATTTGAACTTGGATATGTTGTTTCAACATCTCTAGGTCTCACTCACCGTAGCAGTGCTGGTTTTGATAACTGTTAAGAGGATAAAAAGGTTACTGTTGGGCACATAGTGGGTGGTCAATGAATGGTCATTCTAATTTTTATCCTAACCCTTTAGAAGAGGTCCTGCATCTACATGAAATAAGACACCAAAAGTATTATTGATCATTTATCCTTGAGCTGACAGATATTCTTCTTGGTTTGCATCAGGAAAGTAGTAGAACACACCAAAAGACGGTTCCGTGCCCCCATGGATCGAATTGGTGGAAGCCGACTTTCAAATTCCAGAGGCTAATGGTTCCAATTGTGAGTACAAATGAATTGTTTTAACTAGCATTTCACAATTTCACCCTAGGTTATATGTTTCTCTTTTAATTTCTTAGTTTATTGTAAACATTACAGTATCGAATTCACCTGTTACTGCTGTTACGTGCTTAAGTTGCTTCTGTGGAAGGGTCCAAATAAGGACAAGTATTGTAGTATCCCTCTTTTAGAAGAGGACAACAAGAGTTAAATGCAGAGAGAACATGTTCATAAGTGCGTACCAGGGAGGAAATCACAGGAAAGGTACATTTAATACATTTGTTTCTGTCGCTGTTGCTAGCTGCCATCAGCTTGGTTCTGACTCATAGTGACCCTAAGCACA